CTGGAGTATTCTGGATCATTTACCTTCCAAGGGTACTCGACCCCACCTGGAGTATTCTGGATCATTTACCGTCCAAGGGTACTCAATCCCCAGTCTATTCTCTACCAAATCCTAACCTGGATATGGCTAACCTTTCATTCCCTTAACTATGGGCAATACCTAGGCCTATAGTCATATAAACATCCTTAGTAACCAACGTGGAAGGGTCCCACCTGAACGACCCACGTTAACCTACTCACAAACTGCCCGTTTTGAGTATAACCCAATACTCGATCGAGTACTCACCTATACTCGGTCGAGTACAGGAGACAGTAGCCCGTAAGGCCAATTTTTAGTGTATACTCGATCGAGTACATACCCATACTCGATCGGGTATAGAAGACAGTAGTCCCTGGGGCAAATTTCAGCAAATACCCGGTCGGGTATTTGACAATACCCGGTCAGGTATAACAGTTGACTTGGCGGTCAACGCCCGTTTGACCGCCCAAACGGAGTCCGATTAACGTGAAATTTTACATGCAAGTAATCTTTGAAGTTATTGATTTAAAAATACCTGTTTGGGTCCTTGGAACATCTTACATATCAATTTATAGAAATTTCACCAATCAAACCTATAAATCATGCTTTCCAACTATGTTATATTCCTTAACATAACATAACACATACTTTAATACCATTAATCAATCCATAAAACATATTCTTGATTAATTTAGGTAATCTCATGCCTCACGCAAAAGTTATAAAGCATAAAGCCGTCTTCTCACCTTAAATGAAGCTTATGAAGCCCTAGCCTTCCTTATTGAGTTCCGGCGAAACTCCGGCGAACTTCAACGAACTCCGGAGACAATTCCGACGACCCTTTCAACTCCGTGAAAGTTCCTTGAATACCTTAGACACGTTACTAACAAGGTTTTATCATCATAAGACCCATATTAATGCAAATAACCTCCATAATGTTTTTTCTGGTGAACCGGTCACTTTGGCTTCTAAGTCCGTTCTTGGACCTAGAACTACCTTCCAACCCTCATTCTACACTTCCAAACGTGTAGAAGAATCCTAGGGTGTGAAATATGATTGTATAATCATATGAAAAGATTAAAGAAAACGAAATAGGATTAACGGGGTCATTACCTTGTTAATCTCAAATTTTCCTCCCTAACCTCCTCCTTTCTCTTCTTTCTTCCCTTCCTTCTTCCTCTTCTTGCTTTGTGCGGATATGGCTGGCAAAGATGGAGTATTACATAGCTTCTCTCACCTTACTTGAGGGATGGGCCGAGCTGGGGGGTGTATGGTTGATTGAGAATGCCTTTTTGGCATTTCTCACAAAGATAACATGGGGAGGGTCCATTCCATTTATTAGTTTGGCCTTCAGTCACTTCTTTCTCATTTCCCACAAGGTTGTGCGGCTCCCTTGCCCTCCTTGCAAATCTAAAAAACGTGGGTTGGCCCCCACTTATGTGGGAGGTCAACCCTTTGTGTCCCGGAGTGTACAATCGGTCCCGAAAGTTGTATTTTCCGGACTGTTTTAATTATATTTCATTTTATCGGGCCAAATAAAATATAACACATGTTATAGATCCTCATTGGACCCTAGAATGAATATACGTTCCCCAGATTTAATTTAAAAGGTCTCCGAAATTCAATTCGGGCTGTTATCTTATAAATTACCGATATTGATAATCGGACCTCGTTTGACCAACCGGTCAACCCTATGCCATTGTCATGGACCAATTAGGATATCCACCACCATATATATATTATCTAGTCCAAGATTAATATAATATGTGATTCCGATAATATCAGGCGGCCCCCACTTCCAGTGTGGGCCCCACGTGAATTTTTACTATTCACGTAAAAGAAATGGTAAAAATTTACAATCACGTAAAAATGCTCTTATTCATTTCTTAGGGTTCAATACATGATTTGATAAAGTACAAATACTTGGGGGCGGTGTTACACCCATATGCTGAAAATAGATCTTCTGGAAACTTCAAATTCAGTTGCCAATTTAGTAAAAACACCTTTCTGAGCTAACAACTCTCCAAAAATGTCTTTTTTTGCACAGAGCAGGATTTCATCAAGTATAGTCTCCCTTTCCATATTAGACAGTCTCTTACTTTTATTGTTGCTGACTGCCTCTTGCGAATGACCCTCATTTATTGTTGTGTGCATATTGGTTGGTGAAAAAGATGAAAGAGGAGCATTAATCGAAGGTGAAGAGGAATCCATATTTATGGAAGCTGCAATTTATGGAAGATGAACTGTTGTTGTCATTTTTTGTGTGTGTGTGTAGTGTGTGTAGTGTATGTAATGGGAGATAGAATAGGGAAATGAGAGTATTTGTAGTAGGGAAAATTAGAAACTCCCTCCAAAAATAGGAGGGAAGGTGTATTAGAATTAAATTTTGGGTGTTGTACTATTCACCTTTTTTTATCACATCTATCAAATCCAACTATCTTTTATTTATTTGAGTGGAGTAATTTTTATTTACCCCTCCTCTACTCGGCCAAGCACAAGGGTGTTCTTGGAAAGTCAAAGCATCTTATGTCTTGCATTAAAAGGTGGTCCGGGTCAAACCGGGAAGTATTTATTGGGACGGAGGGAGTATTAAATAGGGGTTGAGCTATGATTTGAGATTTTTTATGAAATTTTATGTGTGGTTCGGATATGTTGGATTTATTTGAGTATGATATGATTTTCTGGGAATGTGTGAATTTTGAGTAATTAATTATTTTAATTACTATAGCCGAAATTGTGAATTGTGAAACAATAGTTATTTTGACTTAAAAAATTGTGGAGATCATTTTGAGACAAATAATATATTTTTAAATGTATAATTTGGTGAAAATATTAAGATATATATTCTAGAGTTAGAACTATCCTAATTGGATTAAATACTATCTTGGAACTAGTTTTGGGGTAAACCCTAAATTGTAAACTATGACTTTGAACCTGATATGTTATGCATATAATTTTGAGATATGAATATGATTGAGATATTTTGAGAAAGTATTTGAGGAGATCAAATTATTTTCATAAAAACTATGAACAACGATTTCATAATTGTGACTTGTGAGTGTCCCGCAAAGAACCTCGGGATGCTAGTGGGTTAGGTCTGCTACTGCCCTTGTGAAAATTGTTTGAGATCTGTGAGTGATTCGGTAGACATCCCGGACTCTAGGATGTAATCATCCTTTTCTTTGGTAACGGTAATAGTAGTTCTAATTTGCTTTGTGAGGATAAATTAATGTTTTCGAGTAATTAGTGGAAATATATCCTCACTACTTAGACTTCTTATCACTCGGAGGGTTTGGAATCCCTTTTAGAGGGTGTGCACACTTAAGGTAGATGTCTAGCTTCTATTTAGTTGTAACCGATGGGATCTGCAATTGCAGAGTGAGCCATGGGGGCTGTCGTGACCCATGTGCTCGCTAGGCTCAAGGAATCTTGAATTTTGCCCATCAACTAAGAACTAATTGAGACTTGAGAAACTATTTGACTTGAGATATATCTGAGAGCGAACACGTTTTCTAAGACGTATTTTACCACCCTATTATTATATTATTATTTTAAAGTTTATGACTATGGATTGATTATGCTTTTGACTAAGATATGACAACTTTGGAAATTACTAGTATTTTATTAAATCATAACTAATGTTTTCGAGACTATGAAGTATTTTAGAAAGTTACTGATTTTTTGAATTATACTTATGTATAAAAACTTTTTTGACAAATTATATTATTTTATGGGGTTGGGTGGATCTTACTTAGCTATGAAGCTAATTTTTGTTCCTTTATTTTTGTTTTGTTTTCTGCACTTTATTTGTGCAAGTGATGATTATGCATGATGATGAGAGCTACGTTAGATCACGTAGTTATTTAGCTATCAATCAATTAGTTACTACGAATCTACGATAATACTTATTTCAGTTTTGAGAACATGTAAACAATTAAATTGTTTTGAGATTTGAGCACTTAAATGCTTGGATTATTTTTAAATTGTGGTTTAGCATGTGTATTCGGTTAAGAGATAGCCGAATGTGGCGGTAACACTAGGGTTGGACTCGGGCCGGGCCTCGGGTTTGGTTTTTTTTTTTGCTTAGCTACCCATCCCAGACCCCCCCCCCCCTCACCCCCCAAACCCCTCCTAAACATCAAGCCCAACCCGGTGGAGCCCAAACAAATGAAAAAAACCAAAAAAATAAATAAATTTGGCCCGAACCGGGCCCAGGCCCGAACCGGGCCCAGACCCGGCCCGGTCGGGCCTTGTTATGGGTGACCCGAGCCCGGACCAGAAACCCACCGAGTCGGGCCTACCCGGACCGGTCACTGACCGGGCCACCAGTTCGGGCCAGGCCGGAACAGTACCGGTCCCGGGCCGGTTCCGGGTCAGGCCACCCGGCTCGAGTCCAACCCTAGGTAACACCCATTGACTATTTTATTCTGCTGCAATTTAAATTCCTTTGAACTTCAATGCTTTTGGAGAATTCTTTCTAAACATGTTATAATTAGCATATATTTTAGGGATGAATTTGGGGGTGTTATAATGATGTAATCAAAGTATCAAACATGAGATCTTGTCCCTCCAAGTTTACAACTTTTTGTCATTATTTCTTGATCAATTATCGTGTAAAGCTTCCACCTGTTGTATAATAACACGTATACATAGCCACTTGATGGCAATACATGAATATAAGTTCAATTTATCATTTCTCATGTTCTTCTACACAACATGGGTACGATTCCAGATCTCCAAACGAGACTGGCCGGTTGCAACCAAAATTATTTGTTTTCCTTTAAATAGGGTACAATAGTAGACAAGAATTGATCTTTGCAAACGATTTAGGACTAGAAACAATTCCGATCCCAATGACAGATCAGATGACCACATTTGGGTAGTCGGCCCAAAACATGGTTAAGTGTAGCTCAAATAGTTAAGTGTAGGTTAAGCTATATCAAGCATATTGGACTCTGGTAATGTACCAACCCAATATATAAGGGCAGTCGAGCTTAAGTGGACTTGAATAAACCTCAAACCACGTGGACTCTACATATAAATGTCGTAAACGCAATGTAATCAAAACAATGTTCATCACACGTCTAAGTTTACCATTTCCAATGATTCCAAGATGATCATAAAATTATTCCAATGTCAACAAGTGAGATGTTACTCCTAAAAATATATGCCAACATTATGCCTGATAAATGATAATACTACAAAACTTTGGTACAAAAAATTACAACGAGAAAACTAGTGATTACGCCAGTAAGGGTGTATGCAACGACAATATATTTAAGCTACACCCTTCTTCCTTACTTCTTTGGACTTCTTGAGAAGTGTTCTTAGGCTGAACTATGTGCTTGGGTTTCAGTAACATCGGCAGCTTTCCATGGTAATGCACGTCTCGTGCTGCTCTTAGTCTATAATTTTTAGCAGCAGTATTGGGAAAAGTAATTGAATTAGAGGCTGCTCCATCATGAGACCAACCATTGGAATGGAAAGCAGTAGCTGAAGGCTGTTTCCTTGCTTTACCCTCCCTCCATGTCCTAAATGAATGTTGTAGCTTTAAAGGAACCTGGTGTAGCAAAAAGATGGAAGCCATAAGGATTTTTAATCTTTGAATATTAATCAATCTAGCCATTGGCTAAATTTAGACCAAATTTAGTCCCGGTACATAATAGGTTCCACAATAAGAAGGGTATTTTTGTGCATTCACTATACTTAGACCCAAACTCAAAAATGATTTAGCCATCAACTATGTAATTCCGAAACAACTTAGTCCTCATACGCAAAAATACTTTCCATGATTAGTGCGAAATATGCTTGAGGAGTAAATTGAGTTTAAAATGCATAGTTGAGGATGAAATCGAGTCCAAAAGAAAGTTCAGGACAAATTTGGGTACTAGTATAAAGTCGATGGACCAGATGGGGTATTAACATGAAGATATTGAGGTACATCTCATATCATGTTGGTCTTCCACCTAACCCAATTAATCTCCACCAGACGCTAGATCCTAGTCTACCGCCAGGCAGACCAAGACGCTTCTCACAGCAACAGGTCAGAATAATATCAAAAAACAAAGTTAAAAGGTGTGTAGTAGCTCTTACTTGGAAAACAAGAGAACATGCAGCAAATGGCAAAGAAGATGCTCCAAATGGAGACTTTCCAGGTTCTTCTTTGTTCCCAATATTTTCTTTAGCCTGCTCTTGAATGTCAACTGACCCAAAACTAAATGAAGAACCAGCAGTAGCAGTGTCGTCATCGTCTTCATCTTCCTCTTCTTCCTCTCTATTTTTCTCAAATTTCACAGAGTGCTTAGGAGTGCCATCTTCTTCTTCCTCTTCATCATGGATACTCATATCCGCTGCCTTCTTTTCCTCCACTTCCTGCATCATCTTGAATGCACTATCCAAGTCATCAACTGCCTCATTCAGAGCAGATTCTGCTTCCGCCAATTCGTATTCCTTCTTTATCAACTCCATCTTCATCTCCACGCCTTTCTTGTGCTCTTCCGACCATTTCTCCAATCTGGTTAACATCGGTTTGAAAGCGCTTTTTACAGACGAACAAATACTCTTCAGAAAGTGTCCTCCTTCCACATATGTTTCTTTCCCATAAAACTCATCGAATCCTAAAGGAAGGAATTCAGTATGTTCTTCTTCTTCTCCTCCATTGGTGTCTGGGCACTCATCTCCCTCTTTAATATCAGGTGCCCAGAATAAACGAATCCCATGTTCCTCATCCTCTAGATAGTCGATGATCCTTCCAGTTGGTACATGCATTATGAGGGGGTCTTCAGTGTATATGATTTTTGATGGATCTTCAGGATCAGGCTCTGGTTGCTTGTTAAAAATAACAAATTCTTGTTCTTCATCTGATCAAAACAAACATAAATTCAATGCTTGTGTGGAACAAACCCAAGTGTTACAAGTTTTCAGATAACAATAACATTTTGATTATTCTTGTTATTCTGAATGAAGAAAGTGAAGTGTTTGGATTCATCATGTTGAAGTATTTGACCCACACCGGCAAGGTACAAAATAATATTCAACTAATACATAAAATCATTGGCTGCTTCAGGTTGACATCTTAGAGTAGAATCCCATATCCTAACACATCAAGTTTTTCTCTTTGTGCCCCCAACAAATAGGTGACCCTTTTTATAAGCGAAATCAACTATTGAACTTAACCCGTTCACAAACTCCCCATATACTAAAGTACTATTGAGCATACATGCGCTCTTTAGTCTTTACTAGTTTCTTTGAAGTGTAGTTAGGGACAACAACAACATCCAAGCCTTAGTCCCAAAAGATATTGAGGTCGGCTAACATGAATCGATATATGATATCACAACCAACGATATTCATATTTCGATTCATGTCATGTGATGTGACTAGGTGATACAGTTGGCCGTCACACACCTACCACAGCACCCTCCTCCTTTATCCTGGCTTGGGACAGGCATGATACCCAAAAAAATGATACCAAAAAAAAGTGTAGTTAGGGACGATTGTGGAAAATGAGGGCCTGGTGCTTTCTTGATAAAGGCAAAAGATTTTACCATTGGCCCACCAATGCTCAAGCTCTGCAGGCATAGGCAACCTCATAGGAGATTTGTAAAAAGAATTCAGCCACAATTCCCTTTCTTCATCCACCTCATGCACATACATCTTCCAGTAATCAGGAACCTGCGTCAAAGTTAATAATCCTATTAGACATTCCTGCTTGAGTATTTATTCCCTTAAAATTTTAACAGGAATGTAATCAACTCAGTACAAGTTTGACTGACTTCATAAAACTGGTTAATGAAGCCCGGTGCCATCCACACATCATCTTCTTCATAAAAATAGGGGTGCTGAGGATCACCATAAGGTCCTCTTTCTTCTCTCACCACTGTCAGGAAAAAAACAATGTTTGGATCAGGAAATGAGTAACATTTCATGTATGACCGCTAAACCATAAAAAATCCTTATCATTTCATATACATGAGGAATATGATAAGTATGTCACATACTTCCATCAGGTTTGTTAATGAACATTCTAGCTTTAGCTGCAGCAACTTCTGCTATATTGGCATGCATCTGAAATTAAATGTCAGAAATGTGTCACCCACACCTCTGAAGAACAATTTACTACATGTTAGACTCTTCAACTTACTGCAGAAATTTCAAGATCACAGCCATAAGTATCACGGTCAAGAAATTTTCCAAAGTAGAACCGGCCCTGCATCATATAGTGAAGAGTTTAGCTCATGATAGGTCATGATTCAATTTAACTGTGTACGCTGTGCAAAAAAACCCATCACAAAAAAGAGAGAAATAGGGCAGACTCTAAGAATGTGATCAGATCATACCAGACCAAACCAGATTTGAACAATTATAAAATACACAAAGACCATACATTTACCAAACCAAACTTAAACAGACCAAATCAAACCAACCCAGACAAGCAAATTTCAGTTCAAAAGAAAACATCCTAACTTTTTCCCAACCAAACAAAGGTTAAATGCCTAAATGGTAATTATAATGAGAGCTAACAAATTGCAGAATTAGATTTGATTGAAGAAGTATGAGCTACACTTCCACCACTTAGACGAGTGAACAGATACCGAGTCTGAGATGAATAATGAAATAATCAGCTACTCAACCATCATATTGTATAATTCATTAGCCAGTAGCCAGTAATTTAGCAGTGAGTTAGACAATATGATGATTGAGTAAATATTACTACTCATCGTATTATTTAGTCAACCATCATACCACGTCATATGTTGTTTTCAATTAAGACAACATTACGTATTCTATAGCCTTTCATTGATTAAAACTCGTGTTCAACAACTTTCCTCTTCTTTTTTATTCATTTTCATAATCATTATCCAAATTATACAATTTATTTCAACTTAATATGAGTTAGGAAATACAGCCCCATGGAGGTCAACCAAAGGGTAATAACGAAGGAATGAAGGATGAAGAAATAGAAGAGAGGTGGAAGTCAGACTTTAGTACATTGTTCAATGGGAATAAAGCGTATGATATTGATGATTTTACAATACTAGACCTTTTAGATACCAGGATCGAAGGAGGGAAATTGTTGTTTATTATGAACGTGAATGAAGAAACTGAAAGAAAACGATACAAGATGAGCCCGTCTTTCCCAAAATCCCAGTCCAGAAGTCCCAAGTTCTGCCTGCCTCTATTCTACTCCCCCAACTCCTATTTATTCTTTTCTATTTGGGCTAGCCCAGTGCTATTTAATTCAGGGCCTGAGCCCCTTTTATTTTACAATATTAAAAGACTAACATTATTCTTATTAGTAGTACTATCTAGGTCTCTATCATTACTCCCCCCTTTGACAACCACCTTGTCCTCAAGGTGGGGAGTAACTGAGTAAGTAACAGTCATGTCAGTCTGCTTTATCCTTGCTCCTATGCCTTCCCAGTACTTCAGCTCAGATAGTTTTCTTCGTTTTGGTATCCACTCAATCTCTTTGTCAACATAGTGATCCTTTTGGCCAAGGTTGTTATCTCCTTTACTGTCCCATGTCTGATCTCTTGCAAAATCTCCAATTGAGAATACAAAGTCAGCTTCGGGACTGTATGTCTCAGTCTTCACTTCAGCAACCCAGGAAGGTAAGACAGAACTCAGCACACTGCCACCAGGCCGACTCCATGTGCAAAATCTCCGATTGAGAATACAAAGTCAGCTTCGGGAAATTGTTGTTTATTATGAACATGAATGAAGAAACTGAAAGAAAACGATACAAGATGAGCCCGTCTTTCCCAAAATCCCAGTCCAGAAGTCTCAAGTTCTGCCTGCCTCTATTCTACTCCCCCAACTCTTATTTATTATTTTCTATTTGGGCTAGCCCAGTGCTATTTAATTCAGTGTCTGAGCCCCTTTTATTGCACAACCACCTTGTCCTCAAGGTGGGGAGTAACTGAGTAAGAAACAGTCATGTCAGTCTGCTTTATCCTTGCTCCTCTGCCTTCCCAGTACTTCAGCTCGGATAGTTTTCTTCGCTTTGGTATCCACTCAATCTCTTTGCCAGCATAGTGATCCTTTTGGCCAATTTAATTGCTTGTCCCGCACATTGCTTGTCAACATAGTGATCCTTTAAGGCTGGTGATGAAAACGTCGGAGGAGAGGCCGATCAGGAGGCTTAATTGCTTGTCCCACACATTTTTTGTAATCAGTAGCGTAGCTTAGAGGCCGTTGTGCCCAACATGTGTAGTGGCCGATGAGCCCCCTCTTTGTATGTAATGGCCGATGCGCCCTCCTTCGGATTCAAATATGAAATCAAAGTTTCTTCACTTTTATCTTTCGTATTGTTTTATGATCTGTTCTCTTGGCTTTGCATCGTCTTTGTTTTGAATTGCATTATCACTTATACTTAAAAATGTTCTAAAGCATAAGGATTAGTTGGGTCGATATAGTAGGTGTACTTTTCTTCGGCCTTGGTGTGTTTGTTGGATCACCTGGTATGGCCTTTATCGGCTAGGGAGTATACGTGGTCCCTTGTGCTGCCGTTCCCAATACCCCCAGGTACTTGGAGTCCCATTGAGTTCATACCATCCTCAAAGTGGCTCCTCTTCGGCCAAAAGAGTGTGACGGTTTAGACTTTGAACTCGTTTCAGTACTTGGGTCTTCTTTATCTTGCACCGTCTCCTGGATGGCTTTGCTTCGGCCATGAAAGTGTGATGGCGCGTGTTTGATATTCTTTCCAAGTACCTTGGATTTACTCAATGATGGTAAGCCTTTGGCTTTGAGTTAGTGGTTTTGCCTTCGGCCAAAGGCGTCATGACTTGTGTACGGGTTAGGGTACCCATCGTCTTGAGTGGGTGACCTCCTTCGGCCATACCTGGTGTTTTCCGGGGGGAGATTTTTGAAGTCCATGTTTGTACTTATTTCGCACTTTATGGTCTTGCTTCGTCCACCAAGTTTTGAGCATTGCCTGATATGTACTTAGCGAAACGTGTGGCTTGATTTGTGGGGATTTTCTTTTTATCGCTCGAGGTCGGCGAGTGCGCGGTCCGTCGGCTTCCCACTTTTTCTTTTTAACTTCCTCTTTACTTCTTTGAGCGAGGAGTGGGACCTTCTTTCAGGTGCGGCCGAGGGGGTTGCTATTCCCTCGGCCGATAGAGAGTCCGGGTGGGGTTTGTTAGTCCCTCTGGTGTAGGATAATCCCTAATCTTGGGGGGTCCCCTTGTCTGTTTATGACGTGGGGCTAGACTTTTGGCCGGTTTCTGACGTCTTCCGTTTCCCAACCCCAAGTGTGGAGATTTTGTCACCTCGGCCTTCTTTCAGGCTTGCCGTCCTGCGTATTACGCGAGGACGACGCGGTGAGCTTCCCGTTTCAAGACATGGGCCATTTTGCGGGCCTTACGTCCTAGACATCATCGGCCATACCTGGGAGTTTCACCTCGAAGGGGCCGATACGATGTTGGGATTGTGTGACATCCTTTACTTAAATTTACGAAAAATAAGCGGAACACAATTTTTATTAAGACAAGTGGCTCGAGGCCGATTGTTGTAATCTATCAATAATCCGCTCAAGAGGTAGCTTTTCAATGAGCTTTCGACCTTGGGGTGGGGGCTTTGCCTGTTTGTACCGTCTTCGGATTATTGATAGAACTTCACCAAATGATGCACATTCAACGATCGTGGTACTTCTGACCTGTTAGGGTGTTTGAGTTTGTACGTGTCGGTTTTGATCACAACACTAATGATGTATGGCCCTTCGTACTTGAGGGCTAGCTTGCCCCCTTCCGTCGGCTTGCTGGCTTCCCTTCGGCGAAGGACGTAGTCCCTCACTTGGAATTCTCAGGAGCGTATCTTGGCGTCTGTAATTTTCAGCCCGGATGTAAGCTTGCTCGCGTCTTTCGTCGGCCAGGTGTAGATCGATCTTCATGTTCTCCTCATTGAACTCGGGGTCATACCGTTCAACTCATCGGCTAGATATCGTGACCTCTATTGGTGCCTTCGCTTCGAAATCGTAGCATAGGGCAAAAGGTGTCTCAACCGTTGCCCTCCTTGGCGTAGTTCAGTAGCACCACAAGATGTTCTGAAGCTCGTCGGCCCAGCTGCTTCCTTCGTCCTCGAGCTTCTTCTTCAAGCCTTCCAAGATAGTTCGGTTGGCGTTCTCGACTTGCCCGTTGCCTTGAGCATAGGCGACGAAGGAGAAACGATGTTTGATTCCCCACGCTCGGAGGAGCTCTTGGAATGGTGCGGCTTCAAACTGGGTGCCGTTGTCTGAGATGATCTCTTGAGGGACGGCGAAGTGGGTGAGGATGTTTTGAAGGACAAACTTCCGGTACCGTGCTTCGGTGATGCTGACCAACAGTTCCGCTTCGACCCATTTGGTAAAGTAGTCGATGGCCACTATGATGTAGCGGTTGTTCCCGGCAGCTCTTGGGAGGCGGCTCTTGGGAGAGGGCTGACCAGGTCAATCCCCCATCTTGAAAATGGAATCGTCGTGCTGACCGGGGTGGCCGACCAGGGGCCTTCTGAAGATGCTGACACGTGGTGCATTCCTTGCAAGGTTGGCGCAATCTCGCGCCATCGTCGGCCAGAAGTAGCCCTGGACGACGAGGCGTCCAGACATGCTGAAAGGCCCCTGGTGCGATGAGCAGATGCCACACTGTACCACTTCCATCGCCACTTCGGCTTCGTCTGGGTGCAGGCATCGGAGGAGAATGCCGTTGTAGGAGCGTTTGTATAACTTCCAATCCTCAATAGTGTAGCATGGGGCCCTGAGTTTGGCTAATTTAGCCTTCTCCTCGTTCTGAGGTAGTTCTTTGATTGTTATGAAGGTCATGATATCGGAGATCCAGTTCTCCGACCGATGTTGGACGCACAAGATAAGGCTGACATGGATGTTGGACATGTTGAGCTCCTCGATCTTGGCTATCTTGGAGATGTGCTCTGGGGTATCTGTGCTGAGTTTGGAGAGTATGTCAGCCTCGGCATTCTCCGCCCTTGGGATCGGGGTGATTTCATGGGTTTCAAATGCCTTGAGCAATTCTTCGGCTGCTTGTGTGTACCGCCTCATCCTACCCTCTTTAGCTTCGTACGAGCCCTCGATCTGACCCACCACCAGCTTGGAGTCGCATTTGATTCTGATGTGTTGCGCTTTGAGGCCAGCGGCGAGTCTGAGGCCGCTGAGGAGGGCTTCATACTCGGTTTCGTTGTTTTACACCCTGCAGTTGAAGCGGATGACATAGTAGG